TTTAACCTTATCAAATTGAAATAAAAATATGCATTATTGCATTTAACTAATAAAATTTTCCATTGACCATCTTCATAGGTTCGCGTGAATAAGAGATATATATGACGATCCACATTGAACATTCACAAAAGAATTTGCAATATTATTTTGTGCAAAGCTTATTATTAAAATCATCGCTTAAATAAAAAATACTATTTACTATAACATATATTTTCTGAATTGGAAATCACGTGCAATGCACGTGTCGAAAAACTAGTTACTAAAAACGTTTAAAGCAGATGAGGTAAGGAAAAGACCAAAATACCCCTCACTAATTCGGGTAATTTTCCTTAACTAGACAAGCTGACTTCAAAAGGGCATATCTCCCTCATCGGAACTCGTAATTTAGCAAACTCGATGGCGTTGGAAAAGGATTCCAACACCTTTCATTTGATATCTTATATGCCACCTAAATCATCCTGTACTAAAAGGTATGGTCCTTTGAAGTTGATCCAAAACTCACAACTTAAGCTTAAATTGAACAAATTTCAAATTAGCTCTTTCCAAATTAGTTCATTCTGAATTTAGCTCTTCCGAAGGCGGGATGTTACAATAGTCCAGGGGATACTTGTGCCTTAACCAAATAATAATTAACAAAAAAAAATCAAGACTTATTTAAAAAATTGAAGACACTAACTATATAGATATTGTTGAAAATAATAATTCAAAGTTAGAGTAGAAATCTTAAGTTGTTTAGGATTTGTTATTTATGTTATTTACTTATTTATGTTTTGATTAGAATTTGTTAGTTTGAGTAGTTTCTAGTCGTAGTTTAATTTGATTTTTACCTTTATAAGTAGGAATGTTACTAAAGATAGAAATATATAGAAATACAAGAAAATAGATAAAACTTGAAGTAAGATTCAAGAACCTTTGAGTTTATAAATAAAATATTTTCCTTCAAATTGGTATCAGAGTTTCTACGATCCTTGTAGAAGATCAAAGAGTTTTCGCTGCTGGCGGGTGACTATGACCTATATATGTCGTCCGTCTAGCCAATGCTCATGTTGACAAAAGCTGGACGAATAATATATGAATGAAAAAAAAATGTTAGGAGGAAAGACTTACAAAAATATTATACATTTAAAGAAGTGCAACCAAGCACAAGAGGAAAAAAACTCTTCTCTAAATTAAAAGTTGGAGAAATTAAAAAAAAACCAAAAAAACAAAAAGAAAATGAATTAATGGGAAGGGCATCAACGAGAGTTGGAGAGAGAGTGCTCCAACACCAAAAATAATTTAAATTTATTAAAAACACAAAAAGAAAAGTTGTTGATGGGAAGTGCATCAACGAGAGTTTGAGAGAGAGTGCTCCAACACCAAAAACAAAAAAAATAAAAGGCGTTGGTGGGAAGGGCATCAACCTTGGAAGCTGGAGAGAAGTTCTCCAACATAACCAAGAGAAAAATATCAAAAAACTAATAAAGAAAAGGCGTTGGTCTCTAACTTCCAATTATTTCCATGGATTTTTTGACAGAGGTATAGTTCTTTGAAAGGGCAATAGATTGGAAGAATGGGATCAGCTGCTCTCTGATGGAAACTTAAGAAGGAGAAATAAAAAGATACGTAAGGAGAGAAAGTAATTTGCTGAAAAACACTTCATCCTTTTATTCATGACTTCAAGCCTATAAATAGGCAAATACTTAACAGAATAATCAATTAAATAGGACACATATCAGTCCCATTATCAACTTACTCCTAAAATAGAGCACATGACTCCTAAAGCAACTATAACACTTTACTGCACTAATTCCTTAAAAACAGAACAACCTGCAAACTACTACAATAAAAAAAAAGAAATCAAAACTCCTAAAGACTAGGTCAACTGATAAAAGAATAACGACTAAAAATCCAACAGTTGCCCCCTTAAACTGATGTTTTCTAACAGTCAGTTTATATCTTTGATTGTACATACACCTAGCAGCCTTCTAAGTTTCATGAATGACTCCGTCTTCAGGGCCTTGGTGAAAATATCGGCAACTTGATCTTCACTCCTGCAGTAAATCAGATCAATAGTTCCATTATTGCTAAGATCTCTTAAGAAATAAAACTTCACATCAATGTGCTTGCTTCTTCCATGTAGCACTGGATTCTTGGATAGCTGAATTGCTGAATCATTGTCACAAAAAATCTTAGTGGCTTCTGCTTGCTTGAATTTTAACTCCTCCAAAAGTCTCCTCAACCAAATAGCTTGACAAGCACAAGCAGTCGCAGCAACAAACTCGGCTTCTGTAGTAGACAAAGTGACAATTGGTTGCTTCTTAGCTGACCACGAAATAGCACCGGACCCTAGCATAAAAGCATAACCTGAAGTGCTTTTCCTGTCATCATGATCACTAGCATAATCACTATTCGTATACCCAAGAAGATTGGAATTTTCACTCTTCTTATAAACTAGTCCAAAGTCTCTCGTTCCTTGCAAGTAACGGAGAATTCTCTTGGCTGCCAGCAAGTGCATTTCTGTGCGATTCTCCATGTACCTGCTGATTAAACTCACAGAGTACATTATGTCAGGCCTTGTAGCAGTGAGATACATCAAGCTTCCCACGATTTGCTTGTAAAGTGTGTTGTCAACCTTCATTCCAGTAGGATCTTTGTGCAACTTCAAACCAAGTTCAACAGGAGTATTAACTGGATTGCAATCCATCATCCGAAATCTTTCTAGAATTTCCCTTATATACTTCTTCTGAGAAATAAAGATCCCCTTTTCAGATTGTACTACCTCTATGCCAAGAAAGTAATGCATCAATCCTAGGTCGGACATTTCAAACTCATCCATCATTGACTTCTTGAATTCCTCAAACATGACACCACAATTTCCAGTAAAAATGAGATCATCAACATACAAGCAGATAATGAGCATTTTTCCTTTATCCCCAATCTTAACAAAAAGTTTACGCTCATAAGGACATTTCGAAAAACCAACTTTTAGAAAATAGCCCTCAATGCGACTATACCAAGCTCGAGGAGCTTGTTTTAGACCATAGAGGGCCTTTTTTAATCTATAAACCTTATGCTCATTTCCAATTTCAACATAACCAGGGGGTTGTTCAACAAATACCT